ATCTCCCTGGGCCAAATCCGAACACCTGTTGGCCAGACCCCACATCCCGTCGTGGGAATCGCTTCCTACCAGAGGTTCCAGATCTCAAAAACGCAATTGGTTGTGGAATTATTTAGGACCATTCCCACAGGCTGCAGAAGGCTTCGCAAAGCCAGTGAGAGGGGAGGGCGAGGGACAGAGGGAGGTTGGCCAGGGAGTGCTCAACTGGTGTTTGTTCAACCTCGCAGCTGGTACTCGGTGCCACCGCAAAGTCACATTAATGGAAATGGGATGAGTTTATGGATTGAAGAGGCTTCACACCCTCTCCATGGAGGGGCGTTAATCCTGGTACTGCCAGATGAGCAGTCCTGGGAATCCCCCGCAGCCGATTTCACAGGGGTTCCAACAGGCTCTTTATGCGCTGCGCTCCCAGCCTGCGGTGGGAGACTCAGTCTCTTTCCCATCTACTTTTTCTGCCATACGGGAAGGACCTAGAGGCCCCAGAGTTTAACTTTTATAAGGGCTTTTAATTAATCTATAGTGTCTCCTCCTTGGGAAGGAAGATGGTCCACAAGGGGGCTCCATCCCAGAGGCCACCCAGCTCAGGACGGGGAAGTGGCTCCCCTCTCCTCTCCTTCCTCCCTTCTCCTCCCCTCTCAGGAGCCACCCCACCCCCTCTCACCTCCTGAAAAACAAAGGGAAGAGGTGTGATGCCTCAGGTGCCCAGCCTCTGAAAACAGAAAGCCACCTTTTCTCGATGTGTAATATCTTTCAAGGCAGAGACCAGAGGACCTTGACCCTAATGCCCACCGGAAATACAGGGGAGAGAGAGGGATGGGGAGAAGGGGCTATTATTGAGTAGAGTCATTGGCACTCTGACACCAAGGCAGAATGGCAGAGCAACCTGGGATGGAGACCAGCAGGCTGGGACGAAACCAAGGAGGTGTATTTGGTGGGAGAGAGTAAGGTTTGGGGGAAGAGAGTGCACCCCACTCAAACTCTCTCCTCGGAAAACTTTATCAAACCCTCTCCAGTATTCCCTCCCCTCCCCACCCCCAACCGCTAGCTGTGGAGGCTAGACCACAGGGGAGTGAGTGATGAAGCCAGCTCACCAGGAGAGTTCATAAAATGCACCCAGTTCTGGTTTGCAGCTTCTTTATTATGCTAAATGGACAAGGGCAGCCGGGGAAGACTTTAAACTCTTTGCCCTGGTGGTCCCAGGCTGGGTTTCAACACACGGGTAAATGGTTGTTCAGGAAAAGAGGACTGAGCAAAGGGCCCTTCATAGCCATCCGAGATAATTGATAAATATCAATTATTATCATATGCATTTGTTTTTTAAGTTGGAAGAAAAGCGTTGACTTAGAAGGACCCCTGAATCATCCAGTCACTCAGACTGCCCCCACAGTGATCCTGCCAGGGCCAAGACGCTGTGTTTACTCTCCAGAGATGCCCCAGGCCAGAGGCTCCTCAGCCTGGCGCTGCCACAAGAAGAGTCAGTCGCTCCTGCACTGAGCGCAGCTCAGGCCTCTCGGACGCCAAAGGAGACTCTGAAATGATACGTTTGTTCTGCTTTTACTGCCGCATTTTTTTTTTTTTTTTAAGAATTGCTACACTAGAATGAATGGATTATGAGTAAGTAAAAAGAAGCTGTCAGTCTCTTTGAAGGTTGTGTTTAAAGGGACTTGCCAAGTCAGGATGAAAGAGTGACAAGATAGAGACCCTGGTGTTTTACAGGCTCAGCCCAGCTCTTCCGCTTCATCTGCACCGCACTAAAGGATGTGTTGAAGCATTGAATCACACAAAAAAAGTGGCACGCAAAATAAAAGGTGCCACATCACAATGATTGTAGTGTTTTAACTGCGGAGTACCACATTACCCAATCCAGTTGAAACGCAGGTCGACACAGACCAAGGAACACAGTACAATACTTACGTAACTTATAATTAAGTAGAAGTCGGCCTAACATTTGACTTTCTAATGAGTGTAATGAGATTACATGCCTGATAGAAGCATTTGTGCAAAAGCAACTTTCGTGTTTAATGAGGTCCTAATACAGGACAAAATCGAATTATTTTCTCTCGTTCCCAAATTCTGTCCCCAGTGTGAAATCCCATCTTTTAGGAGGAGGGTCGGGAGAGGCAGCGAAGGCTGAAAGGGATGAGAGGGTCCACAGCCAAGGGCCCCCTGGGAGCTTCGCAACCCAGAATCTCCGAGCGTCTGGCTGGGCCGCGCTGCGGGATCGGGCTTGCGGCCTCGCTTTAATTGCTCTTGGACGACGTCCATGGCACCCGCGGCGCGCGGGGAACCCCTCGATGGGTCTGAAATTAGGTTAAAGCAATTAGCATGCTGCCGACATATTGTCCTATGGCGGAGCCGTGGGTACTGGGAGATTCCTGAATGTACCGTGGAGAACCAGGCCAGGGCTGGTGAAGGGCTGTCACCTTGCCTGGCTCCAGCCTGCGCTGCGCGGGGGCGGCTGGTCAGCGGGAAGGTGCGCGCCTCCCGCGCGCGGCGCCGC